CTCCCAAACAGGGTCAGCACAAGGACACAGCCCTGTTTCACTCTGCTTCGGATGTCAAAGGGAGCTGATGTTGAGCCATCAAAAACTAGAGTACCCTTCATTTCCTCATGAAAGGACCTGATGATGTTAAGGAGTTGAGGTGGACTTCCAATCTTGGGAAGTATTTTTAAAAGGCCATCCCTGCTAACCAAATCAAAGGCCTTGTAAAATCTATGCAGGCCACAAAGACTGGCTGTCATTATTCCCTACATTTCTCCTGCAACTGTCTGACTGAAAATACCATGTCAGTTGTGGACCTATTAGCTCAAAATCCACACTGGGATTCTGGATAGACTCTGTCTGCAAGCACCTGGAGCCTCTTCAGCACAACACGGGCAAGCAGCTTCCCTACAACGCCGAGAAGAGAGATGCCATGGTAGTTATTGCAGTTGCCCCTGTCTCCTTTTTTCTTATACAATGTGACAATGTTTGCACCCTTCATGTCCTGTGGTACTCCACCTTCTCTCCAGCAAAGACAAAAGATTTCATAGAGCTTGGTGGTGATGATCTCTTTACAGCACTTCAGAAGGGGTGTTCTCCTTCCCAGGTGTCTTGCTGGAGGCGAGGGGATCCAAGGCTGCTTTTATTTCTGCTAAAGTTGGTTCGCTGTCCAACTCTTCTAAGACAGGCAGGCACTTGATGTTATTTAATGCCTCTTCGGTTGCTGCATTCTCTCTGGAATATAGCTCACTGTAGTGTTGCATCCAGCGTTCCATCTGTTGTGCTTGGTCCTGGATGACCACGCTTGTAGCAGACGTCAAAGGAGCAGATTTCTTCTAGGTGGGAACAGAGGTCAACAAAACACCACATACTTACATACAGAAAGTTAGCCCCTTAATTCCTGGCATGATTAATCAATGGGTCTTAGATAGTTAGGTTGCAAAATACCCCTTCCAGCGGTGTTGCACTACAATTCCCTTTAAAGCCCCAGTAGCCTAAGCCACTGCCTGTGTGGTTGATAATACAGAGAAATGTGGTCGAGTCTATCTTATAAGCAACAGGTTCAAAAAAATGAACCAATGAAGGCGTTGGCAACCTGGTACCCACTAGATACCACATCAGTATCGCTTCTTTTAGAAGCCACTGGGAACTGCAAGCTATCCAGAGATCACCAGGTTACCTGCCCTTCAATCAGCTACAGTGCAGAATCAAGCTATTGCCACAGACCACAGCATTTGGGTCCTAAATGATTAAGAACACATGCATTCATAATGAACAAACATACACTACTAGCCCAAGCCAACCGCGAAGTGCAGGTAAGACGGCTTCCAAGTTTACTGCATCTTTTCTCGTCAAGGGAAGGATGCAGCAATGGCTGGACCACGCACCCGGGATTTTTGTACTTTTTTGATCCGTTCAGGCCCCCGTACCTTGCACGCTGAAAACACTCCTAATTTTTCCAGCTTTTTTGGCCGTGGGAAGCTCCGCGCATGCGCCTTGCGCTGGCTCGCGCGCTGTTGCTGGCTTAATCCCGGGCGAACCGGATCGCTGCTGCTGCTGCTGCTGCTTCCCGCAGCTCCGCCTGTCCCCACTCCCGGAGGAGCAGCGACGGCGGCGACAGCGGCAACGGAGGGCGCGCTAGTCTGCGAGGTCCTGGAAACCTGAGCGGAGACCTCCGGCTCCGCCATGATGCCCAAGACCCTCTGAGACGGCGTGGGCGCATGGACAGTACTGCGCATAGTCAGAAAAAATGGGAGGGTTTTTTTTTAAAGGCTTTGGATTAGTAAGCATGCGCCCTGACACCAGTTGCATGCTGGGGGATGTAGTTCCACAGGTAGTCATTTGAAGTGAAGATGCACTGGGAGAAGAATCGCCTCTATGAGATGAATGATCCTTGTCATGTAGAAATA